TTGCGATCCGTTGCTGGTCACGAAAAAAGACAAAAAGGAAAAAAAAAAAAAAAAAAAGAAGCACAGGCTATGCCTGTTTCCTTCCATAATTCCTATTAAAAACAATATGTTATTATTCTAAAGAGAGACAGAGAAAGAGATCTTTATTAAAAAATTTCCAAAACATATTAAGAAAAACAAAACCAAGGTGCAGAAAAATGTGCATAGAATATAATCATTGTCCATAAGAGAAAAATGCATACGTGTAATAGCATAAAAATTATCCAGAAAGATAAACAAGAAACTAACGTTTGATTAGCTAGTAGGGGGGTAAGGACCAAACAGATGAGGTCAGAAATGGGAAATATTTTTTACTGTATTTTAAAAATACTTTTTAATTTTTGGAATATGTAAATGCATTACCTGTTCTAAAAACTTAATTAAAAAATATGTTTTTATCCAAGAAAATCTAGTTACAAGGGAGTTGCTAACTTTAATTTTGGTTCTGTGATCTTGGCCTGGTCACCCACTCAATGTCTTTCTTCTTCTGCTGTATCATCTATAATGAGAGAGATTAACCAAATAATCTCTACAACTTCCTGGCCCAAAATTTCTATGATTTTTAATGGCCCGTAGGATTTTATTCTGATATATTCTGGTCAAAAGGATAAAAAAAAAAAAAGGAAAGGCTGGAGAAATTCCTTTTCTTAATGATAGTGACCTTTAATACAGAATTCAAAAGCTTGGTTTGAGCAATTAGCATGTTGCTAAAACAAAGCCTAGAGAATAAATGCTAAAATGTAAATGTTTACAAAGTAAACATAAAATCAAATGTCTATCTTTATGCATGCAGAGAAACCAAAAGCAATAGAAGAAAATACTTTCTGATATGAGTTCAGGTTATCGAAAACTACACTGAGTTCAGTTCTGCTTTCAGTTATCCAGGAAACATGATCAGTTCCTTCTCAAGCAGTAAGAAGCAGCTTATGGTATCACATTAACATTTACAATGTAATTACAGTAACTGCAGTAAAGTACAAAAGACCTACCTAATTATTATAACAAAGCAGGAGATAAATACTTATCAAGGCTATCAAATGATAACAAACACAAATAAAATATAAAAGGTTACATTCATGTCACTGCAAGACAAAACATTAATTAGTGATAGATATGACCCAATACTGAATCATGCTGACGAAACTAATCTTACCTCTTACATAATAGCGCACACCAGCTCTAAAACAACTCCTCCTTGAGATGAGAATCCAATCAAAGTACTTTCCATTAATAGAGCACGAATGCATAGTAATAACTTAACTACATTAAGAAAAATATAACATATATAGAAATCATATGTACTATTTATAAATTCAATTTGTATCTATTTACCCTAATAAATTCTCTTTAAGAGAAAAAAAGAACAAAGATATGGAAATCTTTCGGCTTCTTCATGAATATTCACGAGCCTTTAGTACTGTAATCTTCAACTGTGAAGTTTTATCAAGTCAATACCCTATAATGACATATAAACAGTATGTTTAAGCAGTTCGCTATAGTGTTTCTATTTAAATAATATGCTTTCCTTTCCTTGATATCCTCAACCATTAAAAGTAAAGAATTGTTAACCACATTACCAAACAACCTACTCTAAATGAAAAACATATAAATTTAAAATAGATTAACCTTCAAATAAGAAATGGAAAAAGGATGGGGGTGGGGGGGAAGGCTAGGCTACTGCAGTTGAAGAAAAATCTGAAGTATATCACATGCATAATTAAAAATATAAATTAGTCATAACAGTTGGTAAACATATGAAGATTTACAGATCAGACTAAATTAAACAAAGATAACCTAGATACAGAAACTGTAACTCTACTTTTTCTGAAACAGAAAAAGTAAAACTAAATATGAAAAAAAGACTGTAGCTCCCCAAAAGCTTTCCTTAATATAAAATTATTTCCCTAACGTAGTGGATTGAATTATGTCCCCCTAAAACTCATTCAAGCTTGAATTGCATCCCCCAAGTTTTATGTATTAGAAACTTAGCCACTACTGTGACTGTTAAGAGGGTGGGAAATCCTACTACGGTAATTCAAAGATGGAGTCTTGAAGAAGTGATTGGATTGTAGGACTGTGCAGTAGTGAATGGATTAAAAATGGTGGTCAGGGGTGTGGTTCTGAGGGATTTAAAAGAAGAAGAGAGTCTGTCTTTTTCTCTGCTGCTCTCTGTTTCCACCATCTTGTAATGAGTCCCCTGCATCTGTCACCACCACCAGATGGACTTTGGACTTCCCAGGCTCAGAAACTGTAAGTAATAAATTTTGTTTTCTTCACCCAGTTTCAGGTATTTTGTTATAAGCAACAGAAATAGACTAATACACCTAACTGCTGGTAACAGTATCTGCTATCTGATATTCGCTACCATCAGTAATGGAGAATCATATATATACCTGGAAATTATAAAGGGTGACCTCTCCATTACCACAGTAAAGCATTTGCAGAAGCCTTTGGAATTGGCGTACCTCTCCTGATAAATAGCGTTTTTTATTATGAAAAATAATAAACAGAAAAGAATACATAATGGGTATAAATATTTACAAACTGACCTCTCCATTTCATTACCACAGTAAAGCATTTGCAGAAGCCTTTGGAATTGGCGTACCTCTCCTGATAAATAGTGTTTTTTATTATGAAAAATAATAAACAGAAAAGAATACATAATGGGTATAAATATTTACAAAAACACCTTTGTATGGTGAGTTATTGCTTAACGGGTACAGAATCTCTGACAGGGGTGATGGAAATGTTTTGAAAATAGTGATGCTGGTTGCACAACATTGTGAATGTAATTAATGCCACTCACTGAATTGTACACTTAAAAATGGCTAAAATGGCAAATTTTATGTTAAATATATTTGGTCATAATAAAAAAACATTACACACACACACCGCGCCCCCTGTATATCCACCCATATCTTTGAAGCACCTGGAGCTCCTCTCCATCGGACTCCCTTACATCCTCCAAGAAGTAACCACTAACCCTTAGTTCATCTTTCTCTTGGTTGTTTTTCTAGTTTTATCACTAAACAATTTGTTGTTTAGTTTGAACAGTTTTTGACCTTTTATTTTTTTTTACATAAAAGCAATTATTCTGCATGTATTCTTTTGGCTTGCTTATTTGTTCAACATTATGTTCATGAGGATCATTCACTGCTATAACTGTATAATTCTCCACTGTATGAATATACTACACTTTATTAATCCATTCCACTGTCCATGGACATGTAGGTTGTTTCCAGTTTTTGTTATTTTAAACAGTGCTACAAAAATATCTCTGTACATGGACATGTGGAAGTGGCTCTAAGAAGCAGTACTGCTGGGTCACAGAGTAAATACATCATCTGTTCATATCAGGAAATGTCAACATGTTTTGAGAATTACTTTGGCTTCTTATCTTCACCAACATTTATATTGCCTGGTTTTTAACTGTTTGCCACACTGGCAAGGAAGGGAGATATGATAGCAAGACAGATTTGTTTTATTGCTTCAATAGTCTTACCTTTTTTCCTTCCTCATTTATTTAGATTTGCCCTATGGTTATTTTCCACAGGTAACATTTTTTCTTAATATAATTTGATTCATCCATTATAAAGCATAATGGCATAATAAAATAAATATCTATGAACCTACCATCCAAACTTCAGAACAGTGTCAAAACCCTGAGTCTATTTACCTGTTCCTGCCCCATTCCATCCAACTGCCTTCTTGCCCAGAAGTAACATGTTCTCGGGTTCGTGGAGACCATTCTCCTGTCTTTTTAGTCTCATCACATGTAATCATGACTTAAAAACACAGCTTGCATTTGAGTTCTATAAAAATGGCAGCACACTCTTTATAAACTTCAAGCCCTTTTTTTTCCCCATAAGTTCCTGTGATTCACCCTTATACTGCATCAAGCAATAGTTCATTCCTCTTCAGTGTTGTGCAAAATCTATAAGGATCATACCACAAAAGACCTAGTTCTGCTGCTGACAGAAGTTGTAGTGTTCTTAGTTTTGCTCTAACATGATGCTGTGAATATTCTTGTAAATACTTCCTGGTAATAATGTATTGGGTATGCATAGAAGTGCTGGCAAATTAACAAGAGAATGCCAAGTAATTTTCAAAATAGTGGTACCACATAACACCAGGAATATGAGGTGCTAATGATTCACCCCTCTCTGTTACTCAAGTCTGGTATCATCAGACTTGAGCTCCCAATTCACTCTCTTTTGAAATCTATAGCACTAGGGATTTTATCTATTGTGAGACATGAGCCTGCCCTTAAAAGATAAATCTAGCAGAGAATATAAATCATTTTCTTCTGATTACAAGACAAATACATATATAAACATTTTAGAGAATCCAGAAAGCACTGAAGGAACAAGGGACAAATAAAAACGATGAATCCCCTCATTGTGAGATAATTTGAAAAATGTAAATGTATTTACTTCTAGTCTTTTATCAATGAGTTACTCCCAGGGCCACCTATTGCCACTCTCCAGGATGTCCATTTCACACTTCTCCTCAGCCTCTAACACTCGTGCCTCATTCCACTCACAGCTGATGACTTCACTTCCTATTTAACTGTGAAAATAAAAGCCCTCCACATGCTCCCACTACATTTATACACCCACCTGCATCCACATATCTGTTTTCCTTCTATGATTGTGGATGAGCTGCCTATGCCAGGCCCTCTACCTGTGCACTAGACCCCCAACCCTACAACACACTCAGAGACACCCACTCCAGCATGCACCTTCACCAATTTACCCCTTCACCAAATTCTTTCTCATCAGCATTTAGAAGTGTCCCTCCCTCAACTGAGGAGGAAGAACACAACCTCCTTCTGCAATAGTCATCACATTTAACCAACCAGCAGCATATCAGCCAGTAACACCCTCTTGTTGAAAACATCTTCATTTGCTGCTGGGATACTGCACTCACTGGTTAGTTTGCCCCTTCCTCACTGGCCTTTGCTGGTTCATCTTAATTTCCCTAACTTCTAAATCTTGGAGTAATCATGTGACCTGCCTTTTCAGCTCACTTACTTTGGTTCTGTCACTTCAGAAGTCTTTCATCCTCCCTGAAGCCTACTGTCTGTGGCTCTAACATTTTTTACTACCTAGAACCCCAACTCAGGTTGTCTTCTCTCTTTCTCCAGACCTTTTCTCTTCTCTATATACATTCCTTCCTTTGACAATCACATCCAGCTTCAAGGCTTTAAATACCATTATACCCTGAGGACTCTCAAATTTATGTCTCCGTCAGGGACTTCTCCCCTGAACTCTAGTCCCATATATCTAACTGCCTTCCTGACATCTGTATCTGGATATCTATAGAAATCTCAGCTTAACATGTCCAAATGGAACTCCAGATACTCTTCTGCCTCCTTTCCACCTCCAGACTCTTACCCACCTCAGTGGATGGCTTCCTTCCACTTACATTCTGGCCAACAACCTTAGAGTCATACTAAATTCCTCTTTCATACACCACACACAATCTGTCAGAAAATGCTATTAGCTCTGCCTTCAAAACTTATCTAAAATCTGACCATTTCTCACCACCATCACTGCTACCATCTTGGTCCTAGACATCATCACTTCTCACCTGGATGACTGTAACCAGGTTCCTTGTTCCTTGTATCCACGTGTGCTAATCTTTGGCCTATTCTCTACGCCACAGAGTGATCCTGTCTTATGCCAGTCTTCTACTCAAATCCCCCCAACAGCTCCTCATCACAGTTAAAGTAAAAGACATAGTCCTTCCCATGAGTAATCTGGGCCCACCTACCTCCCAGAACACAGCTCCCACCCCTCTCTTCCTACTCTCTCTGCCCCAGTCATGCTCTTGCCATGGGGCCTTTGTATTTGCTGATCTCTCTGTATATATGTGAAACATGTGACTATATTTTTAGTCAATAATACATTAAACAAAAGCTCATCTAAAGTATGTCCATATAGTTCTTTCACCAAGTAAATTTGATGAAAGCTGGAGTAATGACAATACCTATCAGGCCCACTTAAAATACAAAGCAGAATAAAATTACCATTGATAATAATAATAATAATAAATAAATAAAGCTTTAATGCTAAATGGGTAAACTGTTTCTAAAACTGCCTAGAAAAAAAAGTTTTGTAATCTCACTTGATATTATTTGTCTAGTCACAATCTCATTTAAAATAAAACAAAAAACAGTTGGCTCAAATCCTTACTACCTGAACACATTTGTTCTTATTTTATCCTATAAATAAAGCTTTAATGCTAAATGGGTAAACTGTTTCTAAAACTGCCTAGAAAAAAAAGTTTTGTAACCTCACTTGATATTATTTGTCTAGTCACAATCTCATTTAAAAAAAAACAAAAAACAGTTGGCTCAAATCCTTACTACCTGAACACATTTGTTCTTATTTTATCCTTAGGAGAACTTGGAAAGCTCTACATGGAGGGGAGGGAGTGGGTGGAGAGGAATAAACAAAAGTTTTTATCTTGAAATCTTTCTGATTTTTATTCCCCCACAACCGTGGGAAATGTTTCCCCCACTACTTTTCTCCTTTTAAGTGTAACAAGCAAAATAATTTAATGAAATCATATTAATATAATGAATAAATAAATCATAGATTGTTGTGTTAATAAGCTTCTCAGGGTACTTGATAGAAAGATGTCACCTCAGTTTCTGCAGGGCACAGTCCTGATTATAGGCACTCATCCGCATATATTGTGCTTATACTTCAAGAGCCACCTCACTTTGCTTCCCTATTTTTATTATGATGTTTATGATATGTTTTTTAAATGAACCTACAATTAGATAATCATCACTCATTTTGCATTTGTACTATGATTTCCCCACCACTAAGCATTATTCTTTGTACTCCATCTATTTTCACTTTTCTGTCACTATTTCGACCAGTAAATAAAATTTTTAACCGTAATATTCCTCTCCAAGTTGCTGGTCACCCTAGTTCCTGAGTTTAGCTTTTTTAATTACTAAGAAAAGTTTTCACTTAGCAGCCAGGTTCGAACTACTCTTGTGTAAGATTCAAGACAACATCAAATAAAGGCAAAATACAGTATACTTATTCCTTCTCTTTAAGTCACCAGCCCCAGGACTCTTGAACAGAGAAAGAATAATTTAACCTGAGTAATTCATTCTTTTTTTTAAAAAAAATGGTCACTTACAATCAATATTCTAAGATTTTACATAAAGGAGTTTGATTTTTTTATTAACAGCAATTTCTACTAATTCTGAAATATTCTGCTCATGCAATATTTGAGACAGTCTCTAAATCTACCTTATAATAAAATTTAAATAAAGACTGACAGACACTAAAGAGTAATATTATGCAAGGATACAGCCATGTAACACTGGAAGAGCAAACCGATGGACCTGAAATGGAGATATATATTTAGAATCAATATACTTTAAAAATAAATAAATAAAAAGCAGCATTACATTAAAGATACGTATACACAGGGAGGTAATATAGAAACATAACAAGATAGTAAGCTTATTTGTAACTTTTAATTTTAAAGATATTTTTTCTAATGTAACATTAAGTGTGTGTTACAATCATTTAGGCTTAAATATTCACAGATTTTGGAACACTAATAAAACTACATGAAGTTTCAGAATGTTTACCTCCTTTTCAGTCCTTGCCTACAAAACTTCACTCCTCCAGGGAAAAGATATCCCATGCTAATTGTTTGCAGCTCAAACTACTTTTCCAAAAAAAGCATAGCAAATGACAAGAAATAAAGCAATTAGATAAATCTATTTAGCTAGATTCAATATACTATGTTTCCCTAGCTGAGTGTCCTTGTTTGTAGTTCACTTGTGTAAACAAAGGACAGAAGATGGTGGCAACTATGTATGTCTCTCCTGGGTGACTAAAGGGAGTCAAATAAATGCAGAGCTCTCCACTAAGCCTAGGGACTTAGCCCTGACCCCTCATTTCTCCATTATTCATCAACCAACACCTATTCAATCTCTTTTAGTTAGAGAAAGCAATGTATTTTTACTTAAGGCTTCTATAGAAGTTCAGAGTAAAATAATTAGATGTCTTTAACATAGAATAATGTGAGAGAATAGACCTGATCAAAGTTTGTAAGTTATAAACAGAGTTAAATTAGAATTATTTATCAAAATCCTTGGTGATTAGGTAGTTGTTTTATAATTTGTATTCAATTAAAACTTGGACTATAAGAAATAAGCAGGATTTATTCAGCACACATTACCTCTGGCTGAGCAGAAAGTTCTCTGAGAAGATGACCATTCCATACAAACCGCTGATCTGCCTAAGAGAAGTTTTGAAATTTAATAAAATATCTCCTGCTAAGTTGATTTTCTACAGAAGAAAACTACACCAATCAATGTCTCCCTCTGGTGGCTAGAAGCAGGTTTCTTTGACATGCTCTGAATAGAACACACCTCCCCGTCAAATCTGTCCCTCCTCCAGGTATTCCTGCTCATTGCCTCAGGTCAGACAGAAACCTGGGAGTCCTCTCAGGGTCTTTCTTTCCCTTACATTTAACCAATCGTCAAGTCCTAAATCTCCTTCAAAATCCATCCTCTTTTCTACATTTCTATTCCCACTATCCTTGACCAACACTTGACTCCAGCCTAACTACTAAAACAGCTTCCCTTGCTTTAAGTTTTGGTGTTAGCCCTGCCTACTTTTCCTCAATGATGCTGCCAGAGTTCTCTAGCATGCCCTGTCTCCTATCTGCTTCAAATTCTTCAATGACTGTCATTCTAAAGAACCAAATCTTCGTATGGCTTAACACGTCCTGGGATCTGGCAGCCCCTACTTAATTCTGATCTCATTTCTGGCCACTCTGACTTTTGATCTATAAATACAGAAGAAGCCCCCACAACAATCTCTACTTAAATGGCTCAGTAGATTAACCAATTCTCTCCAATCTCTTTATAAAGCATACCAACTGAACCACACTCCTCCCTCTCCTACCCGTAAAGTCACAGGATATGGCTCTTGCACTTGGCCATAATCAGCTGAATCTCACTTCCTGAGATTCAGGTGTGTGTTTCCAATTGGTTTGTGCCAGTCATACTTGTTATTCATCATTACATAATTTAACCAAATATTTTACAAACCCATGAAATATGACTAAAAATGAACCCGTTTCTATAAAGTTGAATAATTTGAAATATAACTTGATAAGAGGCAAGTTCCTAAAACAAAATTGCTGCTGAATTAGGAGTGGGAATGGCAACTAAAAAAGATTAGAGAAACACAGTAAAAATCTACAGGATTCTGCACTTATACACTGTTCTGTAAATGTCAAAGTCTATAAAAAGACTCAACCAAAAAGCCTTACTGATGTAATTTACCCATGAAAGACAATTTAGAATCAAGGAATCAAAAATCAAAGAAAAGCCTGTCGCCCTACATAAAAGTACTAATCAGTCAATACAAAATTCTATGTTTTAAGTTAAAATGTTTAAAGAATATGTTTCATTTATTACTTTTATGATTCCTTATGTTAACTTGAACTGACTTTTGATTAGCTGACAAAAATTTCCCATCCCATCCCATTCCAACAGATGAGATGGCTTTTTCAGCTTAGCCTAATATTGCTACCGCCTCTGCCTGGAACCCTCCCTCTCCCACTGTCACCTGACCAACAAGGCCTACTCATCATTAAGTCTCAGCTCCAAAGTTAGCTTCCTTTGTAAAGTCATCCCTGACACTTGCAGGCAGAGTGAGACCCTCCTTTCTTCAGGATCCCACTATACTTTGGTACATGTCTCCATTCAGCAATCATGTCTTGTTGTGTCATTCCTTGGACTTTTGATTCCCCGGGAGACTGTAGGTTCTCACAAGGTAGAGGCCACGGCTTTTCATTCTGGGCCCCCAATGGCTAGTACAGTGTTTGGCACATAGCAGGCATTTGAGAGACATTTGATAAACAAATGGAGAATGCAGCAACTGCTTTTAAAACCAACATTCTCTTTGTAGTTAAAAGTCAAATGTCTTGATTGGTTAGCCTACATCTAAACTTACATCTAAGCCTACCTATAATTTTACTAGATTAGAGTATAAAATATTGCCTCAAACAGCCAGTCATCTAAAATACTGAAGTTAAACTATATGAAATTATCATTTTTATTGGTCAAAACAGATTAATTACTGGCAATTTCATATGGTCCAACTTAATAGGTAACAAGTAGCAACCTGTTAAATTCCATCTGCCCCCTAAACACACCTAAGATTTTTTAATAAAAAAAAAAACCAAAGCAGCAATTATCCGGGTTTCTGAAGAGCAGAAACTTTAAGTAGAGATCACTTGAGGCCTAGTTTTAAAGATACACTCATTTAAAAAAAAAAAAAGCAAAAACACCACCAAAAAACTTAAAGAGATATTTTCCAAGTTATTAAATCAATTGTTACTTATCTAGTTAGGAAAATTATAAATAACATCAGTGCAGAAAGAACATCAACTGGGGCCGGCCTGGTGGCGCACTGGATAGTGCGCCGCTTGGGAAGCGCGGCGGCGCTCCTTGCGATCCATTGCCGGACACGGAAAAAAGACAAAAGACAAAAAAAAAAAAAAGAAAAAGAAAAAGAAAGAACATCAACTGTTAGAACATTAATTTTATAAGCCTCATCATGCTGGTAATGGAACTGGTACACTAGGAACACTGAGAGCTAAGAAATTACAAATGAATGCAATGTTAGTTGGAAGATTTGACACCTGAGAGATAGCACTTGATAGCCTAGTAATATTTATGCAAAAATACAAATTCTAAAAGGTTTTCCTCTAACTATATGTGTGTTTCGACAAATTTATGAATATCTACATCAGTGGTTTTTAATCCTGTCTGTGTACAAATACGAATTTCAGGGAATCAATTTAGAATTGTGATGTATAGGGCCAGCCCGGTGGCGCATTCGGTAGAGTGCGGCGCTTGGGAGCACGGCGGCACTCCCGCCCAGGGTTCAGATCCCATATAGAGACCAGTCCGCTCACTGGTTGAGGCGGTGCGGGTGCGACACCGAGGGTTGCGATCCCATTGCCGGTCGCGGTACGGGCGCGACACCGAGGGTTGCGATCCCATTACCGGTCATGAAAAAAGACAAAAAGAAAAAAAAAAAAAGAATTGTGATGTATATGTGAAACATGATAGGTTTTCAAAGCCCCATGCATTATCCTAATACAGCCAGGATTGAGAAAAATCGATGTAAATTTTAATGGATAAAATAGAGATGTGTCCCTTTAAAAAAAACCTAAAAATAAATAAAAATAATAAAAATAACCAAAGATCAAGTTTACCCTCTCCAGGAGACTCATTTCTTGGAATTCTGGACTAGTATTAGACAGCCGCTGCAAAGTATGGGTCAAATCATATGTCGTTGAAAAGTAAAATCCATCCATACTCAGGACATGGCTTATCATTGCTAAGAAAGTTTTATTATCTTGTAACTGTAAACAAAGGGGGAAAATATCAGTATATGTTATAGTTGAAAAGGAATTTGTTGGCATGAGAAAAGAGTAAAAATAAAAACCCTTAAGTCTTGCCCTGTTAAATACCACTGACGGAAGGACTGGGCCAGAGAAGGGTACGCTCACCATTTCCCTGGGACCTACAATAGCTTCTAACACACAGAAGATGCTCATAAATATTGTAGGGTAGTATTATGATTTGATTATGTAGGACTCCTTCCCTTTGGTATTTGTTACAAGTTTTACTCTAATGGGCAGAAGAGTTGTTTTAACAAAACATCATCACCTTAGGTTATGATGTGCCAGACACTTTCCATAGATTCTCTTTAATTGTCACAACAACCCTGCTAGATTGGCATAACTATCCTCATTTGACAAATGAAACACATAAAATCATGAAGGGCCCAGTAACACCGAGAATAAATAACAAACCAAGAACAATAAAACACAAACAATATTTTAAAAATATTTTTTATGGCTAGGTATAAAAATAGGTAGAGTGGCCTTACTCTCTAGGTTGCTTAAATAATTAGACTTAAAGAAATCCATCATTCTCTGTATTCTGCAACCCCCTGCTCTACGGTACTTCTTTGGGTTTTGCAATTAATAACTGCTTCCAGTTCTTACCTGAATATCAGTTAAGTGTAACATTGTCTTCTTATAAGAAAGGACATCAAAATCTGTTGCTTTCCAGATTACATGATTGAAAAATTCACCTATTTTTGTCTTTTTGGTAATGACAATAAGATAATTACCTGCAAAAAGCAAAGCCAAACACACATAAATATAAAAAAGGCAACATGAAAGCCAAAAGTAACAGTCCTTATTGTTTAAATTTTAAAGGTTAGCAGAATGAGATTGTATTGAGCTACTCAGATAATGGCCCCGTTTTTTTTAAGCAATCTTACAATTTATGATTAGAAAGATCAGCATATTATTTTTTAAATTTTTTCTCAAAAAGATAAAAGCAAAAGCTTTTGGTAACCAAGGAGTCATCTTAGCAGGTGGAAAGTGGAGACAGAAAAATACTTCTCTTTCTCTCTGCTGTCACCCCCAAGGCATACAGAACACAGCTTAAAGCATCATAGGTCATGCGATCTGACCACTGCAGGTCGATGTCTATCTACACCACTGCTATGTCTTTTATGTTATTCTAAATGGTAGAGAATGAGCTGGGGCAGTATAACAGGTTACTGCAATATTACATGGGTGATGGTTACGAATCAAGGAGTCATCACAGTACCATGCACAATACACCACTCCTGATCCTGGCCACCTCCTCCCTCCACAAATAAAACAGAGTAACTCTTTCTCACTAAATCAATTCTTAAGATCTGTTCAATGATCTACCCACAAGTACTTCCCTGGACGTTTTCCTGTGTACCTCTCTTTCCTAGAACTTGTCACACATTGCACTGCCGTAATTTGCTACTTATATGTCTCTCTCACTAGACTGTGAACTGAAGACAAAAGGGACTTTAATCTTTTATAACAAGTATCTAGCACAGTGCCTGAAATAAGAAGATTTTTTTTTTTTTTTTTTTGTCTTTTTCCGTGTCCGGCAACGGATCACAACCCTCAGTGTTGCCCCCGTACCGGACCGGGGACCGGCAACGGGATCGCAACCCTCGGGGTCGCTCCCGCGCCTCGCTCAGCCAGTGAGCGGGAACCGGTCTGTATGTGGGATCCGAACCCTCGGGCGGGAGCGCCGCCGCGCTTCCCAAGCGGCGCACTTATCCAGTGCGCCACCGGGCCGGCCCGAAATAAGAGGAATTTTAAAGAAAGTTCAATGATGCTGGCCAGTTAGCTCAGCTGGTTAGAGCACGGCCTTATAACACTGAGGTAATGGGCTCAAAGCCCCATACTATATTGTCAGCCACCCTGAAAAAGCCAAAAAACAGTTCAATGAAATAAAGTTTAAGTAAACAAAAATCAGCTTCTTAATAATGCAGAACCAAGAAACATCCTCTAACATGCACTATGTCATATCACTATAGAACTGAAAGTGCAGAATACATTAATCCATCAATGCATTAAACTTTTTATTTAAATACTCTTGAAATATGAAAAATGTCTAGGTGACTGGAGATTTTGGCTATAGTTAAAATAAAACCAAATACTTAAGCTTTTTCTTTAAAAAAAAAAAAAACCCTCAGGATGATAAATTTAACCATTTGGGGGATATAACTCTTAGAAATTAACAACAAATATCTAAACTAGAAATTTACTCCCTAAACCATAATATGAAGTATGCCTACGCCTTCATCTTATACTCTAACATTGTCAATTTAATTACCTTCTTTGCCCATCTTAGCTTATTTTGTCTTACCTGCCACCAGACGAATTGTGCCCAGTATACCAAATATTGGTCTTGTGACAGCTGAAGGAGGAACATCTTTCTTGACTTTAAAAGGGGGGGGGGGGGAAGAAAAATCATATAGTAAAAGCTGACCAATAGAAATGGTAATTTAGTTTGACTTCAATAGTTACTCCAACTAAATTAATCTGTATGATTTGTTCTAAGAAAGCAATATTCCTTCATTAATGTTGGACCTCAATTTTGGCAGAACATAAAATTAAGATGTCCATGTTACATATAACGGAAAGGACTCAGCCCATCTAGAATATGGTGCCAAAAGTAATATGCTTCAGCTTCCTCATCAGGTGAATCATGGGTTATTTCTACTGTCAATTTTTAACCAAATTTATCCACTGCTTGTCAGAAACTAAGTACCCACCCCTTAAAGAGAATTAGAGAAAGTGAGAGTCTGAGACAAGGTTTTAATCCTAACATTCAACTAACAGAATGCAAAAAAAAGACGTGCCCATCTACATTTAAGAAAATGGGAATGGAGGCAAAGATCCAAGGGAAGAAGGAGGAAGGAAAAGCCTCCTCCTTGTGTCTAACAGCAATTTATACAGGTATGCAGGGAGGCATCCTCATTAACCCTGATTTGATCAATAATGCCCTTATTAATAAAATAGTACCTTACATTATAAAAAACATTTTGTGGAACTCGAGCTTAGAAAACAACGTCAAAAAGGGAGGAGAGAGAGTCCCACGGTCAAATTTACTTTGCTGCACCCCAAACTCCTCCATTCCCTCTCCTGGAGAAAGAATCACAACTCACATTAGGAGAATAAAGGCTCTGAGAAGGCCTACAGTAAAAGGAAGCTGTTCCACTGTTTCATCCAAGGATTCCTGAACCTATGGGGTTTAAAACTTTCCTTTCGGTTACAGCTTATTATCATCCTGAAACTCATTTGAGAAACACTGCTACAAACCCAAGCACTCATTCTCAAAGGCAGTCATTACAGTAATTCTTTTATTCTAAATAATTAATTATGAATAAAGTGATTCTGATTAAGGTCTAAAATTCACTTCTGTTTCTCTTAATAATTCAATTTACTTAGTAATGCTATGCCACAATTAACTAACAAGATAAATAGGAATGCCAGTAGTGAAAAGCTCAGAGAAAATTCTGAATATACTGAAATTATCTTATAAACTTAAATGTACTATTGATAGAGCTTTAAGTTACATTAATTGCAGCAATAAAACTGTGGTAATTCTGAGAATACACGTTAGCTTTCCATGGAAAAAAAAATTCCTCTTTCCAAGGCCATAGTTTACATTCCTCATGGTAAAAAGAAACTAGCTAAGAAAATTGTCAGCGAGTCAGCCTCTCATCGTCAATGACTTTGGGTCAAAGTATTTCATCACGTGTCTACTGATGACTGCTTGGTATCATCATCTTTACAGCCAAACTATTCACAACCTTTAGCTTTTGGTCTATTCAAATGGGGCTGCAATCTATACCTACAAATAAAATGTCACAGAAAGGTCAAAAATAACTGAAAATAAACCCATACTAAAGCTCTTATAAGACACTACGATGTATCAATATGGCATAAAAAAGAAGTGTATTTAAACTTCAGGAGAACTATATTAAAACTGGTTAACACTAATCAGCTATCTTGAGAGAGCAGCCACCAAGCATCAGACAAACAGGAAATGCCAAATTATCAAACTAAAACAGGGCTTTAATTCTATTTGATCAAAGGAAAATTATATATGATACTTACCACAAAAGCCAGATAACCAAGGAAATGGAAATTTAATAGCCATACTTTTCTTACACTTTACTATCCCACTGAAAATATATTTCATTTTGTCCATTGAAAAGATATTTACCGAATGCCTACTCTATTGTTATTCAAATATTATTTTTAAAGGAAAAAACAAATACAGAACTATCTGAAGGTGAACTGAAATTTTTAAACAAATGAAAAGTGGAATTCTAAATGAGATACCACATACTATATTAATTTGTCAGCAAAAATTTTTCACATTAATTTATTCAGAACAAGAGTGTTCCACACAATTGGAAAAAAAAAAAATGTTTTTCACACCCCTGAGAAGCAAAACTAAAATATAACTGGGTAGGTAGATAAAGCTTAGAACATCATTTGCCTGAAATGCTTAAAAGTTTTAGTAAAGTATATTCTATTTTTCATTTATTAAATTAGCCTCACAGTCATGAAAAGTTTCAAAAGAATAACAAAAGCAGCTGTTAAAATTCCGTACACTTAAAACTGAAACAACTTTTTCACACTCAAATACCTTAAATCTTAGAGCTGGAAAGCAGCTTAGACATCTAAACCAAATACAAAGAAAGAAATCATTATATTTTTAAATACTTACAAACAATTAAGTGCTGCCTAAATTTTCCAAGATCATTTCTCTTTTTCATAAAAAGGAGATAGCATAAAATTAATGTATAAAAATTAAATAAGGTAGCAAGAATGAAAATTTTAATATGAAGGCACTCAGAGACCCACACACTGACATACCCGTGAGTAATTTATTTTAGTTACTGCAATTCACTTATAAAATCTTTCTCAGACACTTCTAAATCTGGCTATAAAATACCTGCAAGAGTAACCTCTGTGGACACACGGTCAATGGTAAGCACATCATCTGCTCCATCATCACAAGCTTCCACATAAAATTTTTCAGGTGTGATATGCCTAAGAAGAAATTTAAAAGCATAAATACCTAAACCAAATGAAATGAAAAATTCTAAAAAACTATTTACTGTAACAATTACAAAAGGGTTTAAATTCAACATTATTTTCCCAGCTTCTAAAAAAGATGAAGTTAAGTTACTGTCTTCATGAGTTCACTGCAACTCTTTTCCCTCTTATGATAGTACTTCAAAAAGTTTGTGGAATAATAGAATTAAAAGATAATACAAATCCTTGCATGAACTTTTTGAAGTATCCTCTTAAATTTAATGCAGACACAATTTTTCTAAAACCATCGATTTAACTTATGAAACAAAATCATAATCAAATCTAATTTACTATATTCACCACCAGGCAGGAGGCAATGTAGCACAGCAAGAGCACAGTCCATAGAATTGCACTACCTGTGCTTGTGTGTCTAAGGTAAGTAACTAAGGCAAGTTACTCATCCTCTCTGTTCTTCCTATTTCTTCATCTGTAAAACAAGTATAATACCAGACTCACCACATAGCACTGTTGTGAGGATTAAATGAGCTAATCGTTGGTAAACACTTAGAACTCCACTTGACACATAGTAAGCAAGATATAAGTATTAGCTAAAAATACTAAAAAATGCAATTTTAATAAAACAATTCCAGGAAATTGTTTAAAATAAATTAACATTCAGGTGTTTTTGTTGTTGTTAGTAGAAAAACCACAAAATGTATTCCTGACGAAAACTTCTCATTCTGCAAAATAAAAAAAATAAAATAAAAGGGTTTTAAAAGTAGGGTTGGGGGGCCGGCCCGGTGGCGCACTCGGTAGAGTGCAGCCCTTGGGAGCGTGGCGGCGCTCCCGCTGAGGGTTCGGATCCCATATAGAGACCAGTCTGCTCACTGGTTGAGCGCGGTGCGGGCGCGACACCGAGGGTTGTGATCCCGTTGCTGGTCGCGGTACGGGCGCGACACTGAGGGTTGCGATCCCATTACTGGTCATGAAAAAAAGACAAAAAGGAAAAAAAAAAAAAAGTAGGGTTGGGACAAACTACTCAAATTTTATGCAACTTTGTAACCAGGGTCTATCAAAAATAACAGTTGTTGGTTCCTTAAGAAATAACTTGGATAGTACATGCAAGCAACTCAGCATGGTTACAGAATGACTCAGGAAAAAATAAGCAGAAACAACAAAGTGAAAACGCAGACTTGCAGGCATTAAAATAATGCAGAATGAAGTAGAACATTAAGCCGTTGATCAAGGCTATTATTAAGGTAGGCACAGGGGGGAGTACAACCCTCCAGGGGCTGAGCAAGGCCGAGAAGGGCAGCTGAGTATAGGAACCTTTATTTTTTTCCAAAAATGCATCTGTATTGTTCATAAACTATACTTAAAAGAACTTGTCTGTGCAGCAGCCAATCTGAGGGCTTTTTCCTTTCCTTTTTAATTCTACTCCCAGTATTCTGGGGAGTACCTTGCCTATGAAAAACCTCATGCAAACCCACACAACCATCACTGACATCATTTCCTATTTACCAATTGAGTATAAGCTATTTGTTGTTATAGAAATATATGCTGTAGTAAAACAAACCGTATTGATGATTTTTGACTATAAATTGAGTTGAATAATCAACTCAATTATCCAAATATAACTTTGTCCTTTTATAGCTCATCCGTAACTAACTTAATATCAGGCTAATTTCGTTCATTTTGGGGTGTATGCTAAGGGAATGAAAATCAATATGAAGAAAAATACAAGAAGGCAAATCTGCTTCAAATATGGCAGTCTTCAATTCAAACTAAATATAATAGTTCATTCCTTTTTATTACTGAATAATATTCCATTGTGTGGACATGTCACAATTTGTTTATCCATTCACTTTTGATGGATATTTGGGTTGTTCCCAGTTTGGGATTACAATGAATAAAGGTTCTAGGACTGTCTGGTTAGCTCAGTTGGTTAGAGTGCAGCCTCATAAACTCAAGGTCACCAATTCAGATCCCCATACCGGCCAGCCATAAAAATAAATAAATAAGGTCCTATGAACATTCTTGTACAAGTCTTAAGGCAGACATACGCATTCATTTATCTTTCACTTAGAAGTGAGATGGCTGGATCATACCGTATGTATATGCATAATTTGGGCAGGGAGGGAGAAAAAGGAGGGATTGCAGGCATAAGGAAACTTTTTGAGGTAATGGAGGTGTGCACTATCTTAATACTGGCAATGGTTTCATAGGTGTAAAGATATGTCAAAATTTATCAGACTGTACATTTAAATATATGCTGTTTGTGGTATGTCAACTAAACTTGAATAAAGCAATTTAAAAAAACAAAGTAAGAGGTACTGAAACAAAATAAAAGAAATATAAAGTACTTCCAGACTATTTAGCTTTAAATTATTAAAAACAACAAAAAAAAAACTACTTCAGTCTATAAGCATTGTATAAGCATTACACAAGCACTAGGGACTAGGAGGTGGGTGGTAAAATACAGGGAAAGTTGAACCAGGAAGTTCAGTGGTTTGTTCAGGGACTCACTGATGGTAGGCATGTGGTTGGTATTCAAACGAAGTTTGCAAGAGTCTAAAACCTGTAATTTTTTCACCACACTATATTACTAGAACTTGAAGACATCACCCTTTGCCAGGCTGGCACAGATAACTTTGTGTTCGAAATAGACCCTGGTCAGTCAAGAAAACACTGTTATTTATTCTTTGTTTAAGAAATAAATACAAGACTTGGTTTAATAAAATTTAAAAACTTTCCATCAAAAAAGATTTTTTAAAAGTTTTATCACTTAGAAACCCAAACACTAGGTATCGAAACATTCAGTTGAGGGAAGGATCTCATTCCCTGTCACAGGCTCAGCTTTCTCTCCACTAAAATAAGACAACTGATAGGTAAGAATAAATGAGTGAACACATGCGATATGCCCAGCACTTAAGACTCCATGACCTCAGACTACTAGGTTTTAATGCTGTTTTTACTCTTCTGCTGTCTTTAGTCTCCTAACAATTCATCAACACTGCTCCCTTGGCTCCATTTAGTTTTACATCTAAGACAAAGTTAACAGGTCTCTGACAAGGTGTGAGCAGGGCTACACAGTTTTGACCACACAGTAAAGTCCATGGGATTTATTATATCCATTTTCTTCATACTGCTCAGAAGCCTACATTCTTCTAAGTTCAGAGCTGTATTTTGAGAGAGAGTTACTATAATTTATTTCTCCAGATAAATGGTGTTACTTCTTCAATAACTAATGTTATTATGATTATAGAAAGATGAGTATTCAACATACAATCTCAGAAATAAAATTCCTCCACTTTTTTATACAATGCATAAAAACACAAAGCTAAATAAATAAGCAGCCAATAGAGAAATGCATATAGCTTGTCCTCAATAGCTCACCCTTCTTATACTCAGCATTTAAACTTCTCACTTGGGCCTGGGGCATCGTGCTGAGGAATGGACCCCTCTCCACAACCAGGTACACGGCCAACACCAAGGGTCATGCCAAAAACATCACCTCCATGTGGGTGGCCCACCACAGTAACCACAGCTGCCGCAAAAGCGGCCAGATGTCAAAACCACCACGCAGATGGTCCGCCAGCCACTGGAGTGCAACGACACAAGAAGAGTCACCAGTAGAGACCAAAAAAAAGAATAGGATGTCTCTCTCCACAAAGCCCATTCCAGAGTGACAGAAGCAGCATCTGCTCTATAATTATATTGAGAGACCTGAACACACCTTTCCTCGTTGGACAGATCATCTAGGCAACAAATCAACAGAGTAACTGTTACTCTTTAGAGGGAGAAAAGAAATCTAGGGTTATCAGTGGCAGGAGGTAGGAAGGAGAGGGGGATGGGGAGAGATGGACAAAGGGCATAAAGAATAAGTATGATTTGTGACAATATACATACTAATAATGATTTGATCAACATATGTCAACAGAATCCCCAAAATATGCATTATCAATTATGATTCAATAAAAATAAACTTCTCACTTGTAAAACTTCTACAATGAAAATAAATTATTTGAATGAAAACAATGAATTGAAAAGTCACACTCATTTCCATACATAAGTTTTTGTGTGTAACTTAATAGGTACATTTCAGTCAGTGACAAAGTATTTACTGTAAAAGTGTTTACAACAGCAGAAAAGTCACACTCTCACACACACACTCACAGAAAAAAAAAAAAAAACCCAGTACAAGGACTTAAAAAGTTTTTCCCAACCTGGCATTTAAAACTAATTTGGAAGGGTGTCGGAACAATGATAAATATATATATCTTAGATTAGGACTTCATATTGTATACAAAAATAAATACAGCTATACAACTACTCCTTTACTAATTGTTACAGTCTTAATAATCACAGTCAAAGCTAATGACCTCACTACATGCTTAAGATCTTTAAAATTACAAAGTTAAAAAATGAATTTTCTTCTAAAAAGAAATATAGTATATGACAATTCCAAGTCTGGATAGACACATTTGAAATGAGAAGATCAACAAATTAAAATTTTTAGGTACAATGAAATAAATTTCCAAGAATGAAAACCCTCCACATAATAAAATCTTGTTCTTCTTTCAGAAGACAGAATCTGGGGAGGTGCAGGTTGTGGGCAGATGTTAGCCACTCAAATGCAGGTCTAGAAAGGGAAAAGTACTTGGTAGTGGACTAATTATCTCAGTAACTACAGAATCTAATTGTCTATGAAGTGTGAGCCAATAAATTAAGCAAAATTCAGCAGGTGAATGCTAAAAATCTTCAAGAACTAGAGGGAAAGGTAGTAATGATTTGGGGCAGGGCCTGTGAAGAAATGGCGGCAAATGGGGGGGTGAGGCAGCGAGACTCACTTAAAGGGGGGTGTGAAGCAGCTCAAAGTTTGTATGACGAGCAATAAGATCCCCATCCAAATCCACAGTGTCAAGGCACCTGCCGTCCCTGACTCTGGGATTTAGAATGGTTTGACAAGACAGTCTCTGGATTCCAGGTATAGCTGAGGACCAGGGTGAGAGAGCCAAGTGGA